GTTACATCTAATTGCCATTGAGATGCCGAGACGATCAGCTACTGACATTCGTCAAGAACAACTAACTCAAGGACCCAGATGTCGCAAAAATCATTAGAAGCTTCGAAGATCCCAGTGATAACACTATTACCCAGAGGGCTAATAGAGGTTATGTAATGTCCATTGGAGCTCTGTATAGATACTCTTGGGATGACGAAGAGAATGAAGAAGCTCAGCTGGTGGTACCATCCCATGAGAGAAAAATAATATTGCAGGAGTATCATGATGATCCCTCTGCTGCCCATTGTGGAGTAGAGATGACATATGCCAGAGTAGCAGAAAAAATATTATTTTACCGGTATGAAAAGGTATATTACTGATTATATCAAGAAATGTGCGGATTGCCAGAGATATAAAGCAACCAATCAGAAACCCGCGGGCTTGCTAACAACGCCTATTTATGCCCAGAGATTCGAAACCATGGCCATAGACCTTTTCGGACCTCTTCCAGAATCCGAAGATGCCAAGAGATGATCTTTATAGTCGAAGGCACTTGTACTAAATGCTCTCCAGTCGAGACTGCGACTGGAGAGCGATGCGCTAAAGTCCTTCTGGAAGAAATTTACATGAGATATGGCCTTCCACGCAAACTTATCTCAGACAATGGAGATTCGATCATCTCCGAGGTGATGCAGCAAGTTTGTTTCCTATTGAATGTGAAACAATTCCTCATTCCAGTCCTCATTCCAGTATATCATCCTGAATCCAATATGGTAGAACAAAAAACTAGAGTATTGAAACTAAGACTCGCGATGCTTGTGAAAAACGACAAGACATGGCCTCAAATGTTGCCAACTATACGGTTTGCCATGAATACCGCTAAAGGTGAGAGTATCGTCTATACTTTAGCTTATCTCACATTTGATCGAGAACTGAGAACCCTTGATGAAGTTCAAATGATCTACGAGTAATCGTGAACTCTGATAGTTTTGTCCCACAGATTAATCTATACTTACAACGTATGGCCATCACTTGGCAAAACGCTAGGAGTAATCATGATGTACAACAAGATCGATACAAAAAGTATGCCGATAAAAGGCGAACAGCGACAACACCTTATATTGAAGGAGCTCAAGTATGGAGCTCCATACCCCAAGTTCAAAACCAAAGAGAACAACTAAGAAGCTCAATCCACGTCGAGACGGGCCTTATTTAATAACTAAAGTTATTTCACCCTTAAGCTACCAGGTTGCAGCCCCTGATTCCTTGAACACTCCTTTAGGGACCTATCATATCAATGCATTGACACCATATTACGGACACTAACTGCGTATAAAAGCTGATTATAATTACTTGAATATTCTTCTTCCCCTTTTGCGAGTAGCGTTTGACCACATGCAGAGGTTCGACTCCTGAAAAATTCGAGCAAAGAGTTACGATGCTGTTGTCATGCCACTTTACTGCGGTTATATTCTGATTTGAAATTTTCTTATAGTCATAGCTTCCTCGCTTTTTTTCTTCAGAACTTTAGAGTCTATGAGGGTATTTACTGACAATCGCTTCTCTCTTGTCGAAACACTTTTCTTTCATCAGCTTTTCAATTAGAGGAATGGACGTAAAGAAGTTGTCGAAAAAGAGATGAAATTTTCTGTCCGCCCATTTCTTGCGCAGGGCTTGTGCGTATTCCAATACCACTCCTGCGCAAACTCCGAACTCTGCATATCGTTCACTTATATTTGTTGCAGTACCTTGGTATGGTTCAAACCAATTCAAGTAACCAAGTCTTGTACTTCCAACCCATAATTTAAAGCCATACCTTATTGACTTTCCATGAAGGAATTGTTTGCAGACATGGCGTCCATAATAATGTACCATGGCGTCCATAATAAGGTACCATGGCTTCATCAATTGAGTGCATTTCTTCGACAATCGAGTTTTCCATAAACTTTTTATTCAGAAGAATGAATAGGGGCCTCGCTTTTGTAATTTGTCATGGTGGTCTAATTGTTGATTTTCTGACACATGTAAATTGGAAAAAATTTATTCAAATCTGTCTCTTGAAATTGCTTCGGCAACCAAATCATTATGTCCATCTTTTTCACGTTCCCAATACATTCTTCTCCTTGGCACCTGTACGTAACCACTAAGCAAGTAAACTCCAATGAAAGCTTTGAATTCAGAATGTTTTATATTGGGTGTTGAATTTTTTTTGTTGGGCATAATTATTACTGCTACTCACGAAAAGTTCGATTATTTCTTCATCGAAGAATTTCGAGAAAAGCTCCATTGGATTCTCTGAATTATTTATATCATGCGAATGCTCGAAGTTTGCTTCTAATGTAGGTAAATCTTCTTGGACCCACTCGTACTCTTTTTTCAAAGTTTTTTTTTCTTCTATCTGATAATCTCAATCGTTCTTGTAATTCGGACAAGGGAACATCGTCCTCTGATGAATAATCAATTCTATCATATTTCGTTTGAAATCTAATCTCCGCTGGTGCTTGTAACTGAGAGGCAGGTAGATTATCAATTGTAAAAATATCTTCCGTCCCAGAATCTTCATCTGTTACTTCAGCCGTGGTATTTTCTGGGGGGAAAATGAAAATTTCATCTACTGTTTCAGCTAATTCAGCATCATCTTCCAACATAACTAGAACTTCGTTGAGTGAAAAACCTCTGAAATTAAATAACATTGATAGACATGTATTTTCCTAATGTACTATATAAAATGAATATATCTAAAGGATTTGTGATATAATTATCATTTTTCTTCTAATTACCAGCAATTGGTAAAATATATTCTGATTTCTTATGCTTGAAATGTACATACCTTGCAAAGTTGACACCGTACTCAGCCATTTCTATTTATATCTGTATTCCAAAAAAATAAAATTCTCACTTTTACACAACAAAACTGAATGTAGTCCGTCCAGCCACAATGTTACAAGTATACTGAAGCATTTGCCACACTGATAGCTCTCGTGCACGTAAAAACCGCTGCATGTCGAGACTTCCAGGTTGTCGAGGCATATCTGGGTTAAAAACCAGAAATATATACCCCTAAACGAGCAACTCGATTTATGTAGGTTTCCTTTCTTGAATTCATAAGTTTAACAACCCCTAGAATACTTGTGGAAATGCCAGAAACCCAACTCGTATTCAAATTACCAGAGCTTTCAAAAACACATTTACTCTTCAGTATTTCACACAGGCAGAAGGAACTGTCTAGAAGATACTAGTGAGATTCTATCTAGTATTACAGATGCTGACACAAATAGAGTGAAGATTTTTGTGGAAGTTCCAAAAAATCCCCGTTAATCTTTGAGAGTAGATACAAATGATTATAGAACTCTAGCCACTCCAGAAGGCAACAGCTTGGGCTATTTTTGTGGATATCTTTTGAGAAAATGTTCAAGAGAACATTCATGTAAAATATGTACAAATTTTGCCACGGCGGCTAGTAACGTTGAATGAAACAAATATATATAGTTATTTCAAGGCATATAGTAATACAGAAGCCAAACAGTTTTGAAGTTTATATATGCCTCCAGATTCAACAATTTATATGTTTTGAGCTGATTGCATAGGCAACCAGCTCAAAACAATGTTTTCAAAAATTAATATTTCTCACTCTTGTGATAATTTTCCTTTGGATTATTTACTTTCTCTTTTCACAAGGGTAAGAATTTATTATACTTTGAAATTTGCCAATAGAAATTTGAAAACAAATTTTAAAAAAATATCAAAAACCCATCATTCTGAAAAACCTTTGAAATAGATTAGCATACGGTTTCGACCTAAATTGTATAATCTTACTATACAAAATATACGTTTATTTCACCACCTTGTCTTATTTTTTATCAATTTCTAAACAGTTCACAATCATATGAGACATTTATTGGGAGCTTCTCATAACAATGATGAAGTCATATCATGGTCACATATTTTTTGATCGAACCTCGTGCAGAGGTACACGATAGTTCTTAGCCAACACCCTCCTGCCCCGCAACATGCCAGCATAAAATAAAATCTCGACCCCATACATCAAAAACGCCGACTGGGCGTGAATTTACTTGTGTTTACTTCTATACGGTGCCCTCTGAATAACGTTAATTGTGTGAATATTTCATTCAAATCATTTATCTATGAGTAAACTTGCTGTTGCCCACAACTTTGTTCACGTGGTCTTAGGTTTTTGGGTTTTCTCATGTATTTGTCTATCTTTAATTTACAAGGCATAATGTAATATTTAAAAGTTACAATGATGCTTCTCTCCACACGATATTAGAAGTAATAATAGTATTCCAATCGTAAAACACTACGGATTCAACTGTAGTAATCGCAGAATTTCTTAATATATCCACGATTTCGAGGATATATAATATAGAATATAATTGATTCACCAATGAAAATCCAGATCCACTGAATATATCTGGAATGCAAATGGCCTATTTTATTTCTGAAAAATGTAATTTTCTGATAGTGGAAATAATTACAAAGTCAGTTTAATAGTTTCGCAGTTTATCGATTACGGCTTCACACTCATAAATAGATTGGAAGATGAATTAGTACTTCATTTGGAGCAATAGAACATATCAACAAAGAAAGGAAGGAAGTAATCAATTTGAAACTCTATACATGAATGTGTAGATCATGCAAAGAAGTAACTTTCAGACACAAACTGAAAGAAAGTCCTCCTGAAATGTTATCCAATTTGGTACTGAAGAGCCTTAGGGCAAGTGTCTTAAGGCGAAACATCGGTGTATACCAGTGAGGGTGACAGTGCTCTATGTGAGTGTCTGAAAGTTACTTCTTTGCATGATCTACACATTCATGTATAGAGTTTCAAATTGATTACTTCCTTCCTTTCTTTGGAAGATTCTCTCATCCCTTTTTTTGTATCAGATGGAGTAGTAGAAAGCCAAAAACTTTCTTTCCCAAAAAAAAATTAATCACTCCTAAAAATATAACCCCTTCAATTCAACATATCAACAATTCTTCACACTAAACTTTTTTTGCAGTGCCCGTTCTCACCGGCGACTCTGCAGCTGGTCAGGTAAGATGAGGTTATTTCACCGAAAGGGGAACGTAGGCCATCGAAGTTAGTAGCTTAGAACTTCCCTGTGATAATATTTCATGTAGTTTTATTTTGTGATAGCAAAATACAGGGTGTTTATTAAACATGCGGCAAAATGGACTATTCTTGGGACATTTTGTCCTTTGATGATTTTTGATAGGTCGCTTTGTTCCGAAGATACGGAGCGAAAGAGAATTTCGACAATAAAAATGTATTTCCAAAAATGACGTTAAATGATTCCTAATCTACAAGAACTGTTGAAAATGACTACCCCCGCTGGGATGCAAGAATCCAATCTTCTCCTCACCGACTCCCGAACTCTTTCAAAAACACCAGGATCGTTTCTGATTGCGTTACACCCAGCAATTATCCGATTTCTCAAATCTTCCACTGTAATCGGAATTTTGATGATAGGTAGTAACGGAATCGTTAAGATTTTTATTAGGTACTTGGTAGGTCAAGTGTAGTGCGCTATACTTTTATTTCGGCTACGTTAATAATTTTAAAATTTCCAAAATTGTTATTGTCGAAATTCTTGTTCGCCCCATATCTTCGAAACAAAGGCCCCATCAAAAAACATCAAGGTACAAAATATCCTTAGAATAGTCCAAGGAATAGTCCCTTAATTTTTGCCGCATGTTCAATGAACACCCTGTATACTGATTTTCGGGAGTTATAATATCAAATATTATTCACAAGGGAGCTCTAAACCACCAAACTCAAGTGACTTGTGATGGGATCTAGAAGTAACATGAGCCACTTTTTATTCAGATATCCCCATGGGTTCGGGATCTACGCGGGATAATCAGCTATAATATGTAGTTCACGCGGATGAAGTGACAGACAAAAACTATTGTACAAGTATATAAAAAAATTCTGTTATGAATGCAGCAATGATAAAGTTTTGACAGTGACAATTAAAAGCACCCACATTTGTAAAATCTAAGTCGTGGACTTGATTTGTTTTCCGATGAAATAATAACTCAAAATTACAGTCGTGCATAGCCAGAGCGGTCGTCAGTAAAGTGAGAGAAATTTTTTGTTGCGTTTACTTTCGGATTCAATTCAACAACGAAATTTCAATATTTACAAATGGAAATAATTCCATTCTGTTCGCGACCCCTGCCAACCACGAAACTGAGCCATGCAGCCCACACATGGAGCCGACCGGCGCGGCGGTGCGGCCTTCGAAAGATACCTCCATACATTACATCATTGTAATTTTCCCACGGATCCCTGATTTGTTTAATAAAATACAGTCTATGTTACTCGCTTACTGAGGCAAAAAAAATTTGCCATTAAAAGTGACATTTTTAATTGTCAAAAGTTAAAAGATGATGTTTACAAAGTAGCGTGTTGAAAATATTTTGTAAAGTGTTGAAAACTATTGTTCTTCATTATGCAAGACATTAAACATCAACAAGAACATTAATGTGACTTCAAATAAAACGCGTGAGCTGTAAACAACACTGTTTGTTGGTAACTAGGTGATTCGGCGTCACCTGACACGGCCACTTCACAGCAAATGCGATAACATGAAAATAGTTAACTGACAAAAGAACTTTTTCACTCACAAAATAAAACATTAATTTCAACACTCATATTATAAATAGCTATTTAGGAATCGGTTAAGTGGTTCTTGGATTTATCCACTGCAAAAAACAAACAAACAAACAAATGTTTCCTCTCTACAACATTAGTTTATATAAACTTTCAAATCATCTATTTACAAATATGAATTATGAATACAGTCAAACCAAATCAACTGAACAGTATTTTTAGAGCATTATTTTATATGTGATTATTTATATTGACCATATCTTGAACCTATTGAAATAAATCAAACACTAATTCTTGAGTGAAGCTTACCATAATACCTTAGTGAAAACTGCACCCAAATCGATTGAGCTGTTATAATAGATCCTCTCAAATATCTTCTATGTATAGGCAGCGATCTGTCACATTTTTAATATATGCATAGATTGCTGTTATAATTGGAATTATATGCAAAGGCAAATAAAGATGTATTTCAGTGTTACTATTTTCTTTCGGGTTTGAAGGCCGTCGTAGTTGCAGACCCGTATGAAAATAGTAACACTGAAAATCTCAGCCGCGAAAGCCTCATAACCAATTTAAAAGATGTATTTATCAATAAGTGGGATTTTTTAATATCTACAATTGACATTTATAGGGTATAGATCATTTTGATGACATAGGACCGTGTGTTATCATGGCATCTCCAGGTATGATGCAGAGTGGCTTATCCCGTGAATTATTTGAGAACTGGTGTACTGAGCCAAAAAATGGAGTTATAATTGCAGGTATTTATCATAATAAATATTTAATTTTTGTTGGTAAATCAGAAAGTGAAATTTTGTTAGTTACTGTCTATTGTTAGTTACTGTATTCCCAAAATACATTAGGTGAGTTAAAGTTTGCACCTTTACAAACTTCATCTTGCCTCCAAGAAGGGTGATCCGACCTTGCCGTATTGACTCATGACGAAATGAAAAAAGTCATATATATGCAGAAGTTTTGGAAAAATAAATTTCTCTCTGGATGCCAAGATATTCACTGCAAATAAACAGGCTTAATCCGCGGATTTGTTAGTTTCACTTTTTTTTCATATTCAGTAATCTTATTAGGAACTGAGTGATGACATCAAATCCTTTTTGTTAATATTAACATTAATAGTAATATATATANTATATATATATATATATATATATATATATATATATATATATATATATATATATATATATATATATATATATATATATATATATATATATATATATATATATATATATATATATATATATATATATATATATATATATATATATATATATATATATATATATATATATATATATATATATATATATATATATATATATATATATATATATATATATATATATATATATATATATATATATATATAACGCTTTGTTTTAGAATTCCGAAGAATATTATGTTTCTTATGAAATCTACTGTCATCAGCATATTCAGTAATTTGATAAGCATTATTTCTTTATTCAATTTTTAATCAAAATTATGAATGGCATAAATTTCAGGTTACTGTGTGGAAGGAACTTTGGCAAAAACTATATTATCAGAACCAGAAGAAATATCGACAATGGTGGGACAAAAACTTCCATTGAAAATGTCTGTCGATTACATATCCTTTTCAGCGCATACGGACTACCAGCAAACTAGTGAGTTCATAAGAATGCTGAAACCTCCACATGTAGTAAGTATGATTTTTAGTACCAAGCACATGTAACATTTCAGTATATTAAAAAGAATTTCCACTATACAATACTTTCTTAAGGTATGGCTAATGCTAGTCAGCCATTATTAGTAATATCTAAAGAAGCTCTTGTTTAGCAAAAAGTGATGATTTCAACTGTTTTGGTGAAAATTTTACAGCAAAATTCTTTTAAATATATAAATCACGAATTTTCATCAAGTACATCCAAATTATTTGCTTCATTCTCGGATGATCTTGTTTATTCAGGTATTGGTTCACGGTGAACAGAATGAGATGAGTAGATTAAAAGCTGCTCTTCAACGTGAATATGAAGACGATCCAAATAGTTCTATAAATTTGTACAACCCTAGAAACACACATTCCGTAGAATTGTACTTCAGGGGCGAAAAAACAGCCAAAGTTATGGGTCAGCTTGCAGTTGATGAACCACAACCAGGAAAACCTTTGAATGGTATTTTAGTAAAAAGAAATTTCAATTACCATATATTATCAGCAGACGACTTGTCAAGTAAGTTTATTCAAAATATGTTATACCAATACTTGGATTGATATTCAAACTTCTCATTAATCCCAAATAAAGAGTTTAGGTTATAGGATAGGAGAAGAAATGTTATATTTTCCTTTGAAATTGGTAGTAGTGATGAAAAAAAATTAAAAATTACTACCCGGCAAGGGTGTTGTTGAATATTTTTATATTCCCTGTTTTTTTAATGTGTAATGGATGACTCTTTTCATGACTTTGGTGAAATCTAATAGACATTTTTCATTGTGAAGTCTTTTATAACTTTGTAATACCTGGGGTGTTCGTCCAGATTATTACTGTACCTAGTATCAAATTTAATTATTTACTGTCCTCCATCTGTCACCAATATATCACCATTCCGTAGGGCTGCTGGACTCGTGCCAAACGCACGAAGGTTGGTCTTTTGAACCTTAACTACACTGAGGGTTTCCCTTTTGAAATTCCTCCTGTTGAGGTTGAAGCTTAATTTTATCAGCTGAAGGCCGATTAATTATTCTATAGGACAGGGACTTACTCAATTTAACGAGCCAATAAAAGAGAAATGTGCGGTTATAGATATATTAAAAAAAAATGAATAATTGTTACCAAAATTTAACAAAGTTATAGATTGCAGTATGCAGTATTGCAATTATGAGCCTCCACAATTTACCANTTTCTGCCACTGTGTTCAATGTGACCGTTAAAATGTAATCGCGAAAATGCTTATCTAAATATTGAACTGACCCGGCAGAGAGATGCTGTTCACAAATGAATTCTTATTTTCAAGAAATTAAATTAACCTTCTCCATTTCCCTTATAATGGCAATTATTACACCACTTCCCCCTTCGTAAAAGTTCTGGGCATACAGTGCCATAACTTTTCAAATAACTAAATCTACAATATCAAGTTCAAAATAAGGGTTCATTCATCTTAAGCCTAACAAAAGGTTTCGACTAAATTGTCGGCGGACAAAAGTTTCGCGTTTAAACCCGCGCACTGCAGCTATCAGTGAGGCTCCGTTGCCTGCTGTGGTATGGTGTGGTGCTGTGTGATGTGAGAAGTAACTTTTTTACTCAGTCCTTGACGGCCCAGGACTTGCTGCTACTCTGCTACTGGATACGGCCCGATCCATACGTGGGTACAGTAATGTCGTGGTTGCAACGATCTCGGTCGTAATGGTCAGCTCGCCTTGTACTTGCGAGCGACCCCGCTACTACACAGTTCATGAAATTAGAGTGCAAAAGTTTATGTCTGGGTTCGTCTTAACTCAGATTCGGACCGCGACACGATGTCTCACTTAGATTTACGGCAAGTCGGTTCGCAAGGCCTGGCTCGCTCCTTGGGTTTCCTGGTTGGACTCGTCGGTCCAGTGTTGTGAGTGGGGTACTCGAGGATACAGTCTCTGGGGTACATCTGCTTCCTCTAGGTAGGCTTCTTCGTCCCTTCTTGGTTCGGTTATGTCCTGTGCTACTACTTTCTGGTATCTGTGGGATACCCACATAGTTAAGGTATTCCATAGACTGGCCAGTATCATTACTCCGCATCCTACTGTCTGGTAAATATGAATTCCATTCAATACCACTCCCAAAGCGTATTTGATTATTCTAAAAACAGCATAAAATCCCATGAGTCCACTCATAAAGAGCCCTATGTCAGTGAACCATCCCCAAATCTGCTGCATCGTGTTATGGGCTAATTTCTCCATTTCCTCTATATCAAATAGATTTACTGTGGAAAATCCTTGTCCTGTGGTTTCCAGGCCTGCTACTCGTCTCACTATAATATTCTCCACCGCTTTTCGTTCATTTCCGAAAGCGATTATGCGTTGGGCACTCTTAATCTCCTCCTGGGTGTAAATTCCTAACGCTCCAACAGGTTGTATCGGGTAGAAATTGAGTTTAGTTTCTACTTCTGGGGAAAGCTCTTCTGGAGCGTGTTTTTCTATGGGGTATGGAGTTAATCCAATCCATTGGTCGTCAATGAAATACAAGGGTGGCATCAACCCATTGCAATCTACCTCTTCGGCATGTTCTTGTATAATCCTAGTAACCGGTGCCATAAACTTGGTTCGGTTATTTACCACTATGGGTAATTCATTATAGCATTTATTGGTCCTGTAGATTTCTACGGTCCTGGGTATACATCTCATAATGTATAAGATTTCTCCTAATACCCTTCCTATATAGCCTCCATTCTCCTTAACGAGTTGGCTCAGGGTACTGGGCGCCAAAGGTGCCAGTAACAGCCTGGTGCGTAAAATTTCTCGCTGTGTTAGACATCTCCTATGAGCAGTGTCGGTATATAGTTGATCGATCTTTCGATTGTAGGCTTGTTCCACGTATAGAAACTTACTGTTTACGTAAGCCATTAGATCGGCATTGTGCGGGAGTATATCAACTTTTGGTTTGAGATTAAAATATTGTGAGGTTTCTTCCGCAACTATTATACGAGGATGTTCCGTTTGCCATAATTCCATATTACATACGTTGACTCTCTTTATCAGAGTAACTGCGAAGACTTTCGCATTGTTTTCAACTACTATCAGTCGTTCTGTGGTGATTTGGTTGATTATCTTATCGGCTTGGCCACTATATAAGAGGCTAAGTTTGTCTTCACAGGTCCGTAGGGGATTAGTCT